AGCAATGAGAATTGTAGGTTTGAGAGACTCAAAGATATTCGCTTTATAGATGGCTAGATTCGGAGACGCCATGCGGATTGTTCGGGTGCGTGGGCTGTGGTAAGTTCACAATCATTGCGCCGCTCTCTCAGTTACAATGAATTCACATGCTTTTCCAGGGGTGAGGCGCTTGAGGGAGCGAAAGCCGGAAAGAAGGGAAGCCCCATCCGTTCTGAGATTCATTGATGGATTCATTCCGTAATCACCAGATGTATAGAAGTGTCATCCATTCATAACTTTGCGTATTCATATTGAGCATCAGGATCATCAGTATGACGTTGTTCTCAACCTGCTAAGAAAGGATCACAGATTACTGGCATACTTCTTGTCGCAAGGACAATTATTACATTGCTGTTCCCCACACAACAAGGGACAGACCGCCACCTCACGATATTCGAGTTCTGTTGCCGCTTGGCATATATTAAGTGCTAAGTATTATGAACGGACGTACAATTCTGCAGAGTGACGGAAGCCATAGAAGTGGTGGACGCCTTCCTTCGACCATATGCTTGCTCCCCTCTGTCTTTACAGGGGCTGGGGACCCTCCACCTTCCGGTGTGGAAGGTGGGCGACATTATAGCTCGAAGATTGAAGACGGGGTTGTTGTTGGCTCTGTTGTATCCCATTGAAGGAACTCGTGTCAGCCATTGCTTCCTGTTGCTTGTTGACCCACTCTTGGCAACGTCTTGACGTGGGTTATGTTGCGGTTGTGTGTCGACAATGTTGCGCATTCCAAGAGACTCGGGCTGACCAATATGTGCACTGCAGTGCAATTTACAAGGTTCCGGTGGTTCCAGTCTGAAACTTGCCATTTCTGCTGCGCTGAAAGCGTCCCCGCAACTTGGCGACTTCCTTCCTTTCTAAATGTTTCAATCTGCCAAATATAAGATCACTTTTTTAATCACTGATCTTAACGCCTGACCATGTTACAGAAGCCTGAAGGGTTTTGATAAATTGAACCTGGTTGCCCCCACCGCTGCGAATCACTCTATTTCAACGGTCGCTTTGCACAATGTCCCGCGAGCCGTCTCAGCAGTCAACGTCTGTGCGCTCTTCGTCCGTGGGAGTACCAACCATCAGATTTTCCTCCAGTAAAAGTGGACCAGTGACCTTCTTTCCTCGGACCTATGAGTGTGGTCCCAACTCAAACTGGGAAATCACTGTTGGACGAAATGCCGACGGTCTGGCGAAGGTGAAAGGCAAAACGTTTTCAGACAACGAAGAAGAGCATGCCCGACTGGCGAAGTCGGATGGAAGCCAAAGTTTCTGGAACTTGGACAGCTTAACAGTTTCTCGGAAGCATGCTTTCATCAAATGTGAAAACGGCAAGGTTCATATGGCAATTTCCGTTTCCAAAATCTATGATGCTTTGCTGACGTCTGTGTCAGGTGACAATCAGAGACGAGAAACCCCGGATCCGATCAACATTCGCCATGAATTCCAGCGATCCGAGCGACAGTAGTCCCATTGGACGAGAACCGATGGAGTTGATGGACAACATGGTGCTGTTCTTTGGAGCAGATTATGATGAGTATCAGATTGGGCCCGATGGTCACCCGAAAACTGACATGAGAGGGGACAAAATCAAACGTAAGCTATTGGCTCATGAAGTCAACCATCCCACAAATCTAAAGGTAGTGCAAATTTCACAGTTGCGCATCATGAAGTCATTCGCGTGCTTGCTCGCTTTGTGCCAGGTGAAAAGCCCAGGGCGACCAGCGACGGGTAAGTGGTCATGAATTTGCTCAAAACGTTGTCTGTGACTGACGATGCAATGCTGATTGTTAGGTCACTCGACAATTGTGTCATTTGCTTCAATTCGAGGAAAGAGGAAGATGTTTATACTACCCCATGCAATCATCACTTCCATTATGTGGTAAGCTTTATAATTGGAAATCCATATTCAGTAATATCTGTAACACGTCCCCTTCCACTGTCTGTTATCAGTGCATCGCACAACATGCGGCAGGCTCTGTCGGAAATCAGTTCAAGTGCCCACTGTGTCGACAGGTCCTTGAAGTGGCTGATTCGGATCTCCTAGCAGAACTTGTTGCGGGCTTGCGACCGGCCACATCCTCCAGAGCAGCGAATAATACACCTGAGGTTATTGTGCTCGATTCTGACGATGAACAGCCCGAGGAAGGCGCCGCGAACACCCCAGCGAACGATCATACCGTTGAGCCAGGTGCCAGCAATGGCCACTTGGACGATGCGATAATAATCATGGATGATGATGTTGTGATGGAAGAAAGCCCCCTCCCTTCGGCTGGTCAGAACGGTCTGCCTTCAGAAGGCCAGGAGACGGTCAATCCTTCTCCAGCTGTCAGTCAGTCTCTTTCATCCGCCGTGCTCGCGCGTGAACCAGCAACGCCTGGTGAGGGAGCGGAGCGCAGACCATCATCGACAAATGTTCAGCATGACCCATCATCTTCCATTAACCTTTTCCATAACAATGAGAGCGAGGTTTGTGCCACATTCTCTGCCGAAGAATAAATGCCATTTGCTAAGCTAATTGCCACAGCCAACGCCCATGAACATCGAAAATGTTGGCGGTATCGCTGCATCGTTCAATGACGATCAACACATGCAAGCAGTCGATGGGGATGGAGCAGTTGTGTATGGTATGGGACAAGACATGCGAGAAATGATGTGGGCGTCTAACATATCTGGTCTCCAGACTCGCCAAGGGCCAGTCCGCCAAAGCACGCCAATAACCAAGCTCAAGCAAGTGGATCACCCCGGGCAAGCTCAGAAGGCGGAATGAGTGACGGTGTCTTACAGACTACCCCTCAAGTACCTGTAGGGCTTGATCAAGAAAATCATCAAACCCGGGGTGTGAAGCGGTCCGCTGATCAAGACGATGCAATGGACGTAGAGGCAATATCGGACGGGTCCGACATTGAGTTGGATCGACCTGCGCCTAAACGGAGGAGATCAATCGAACTGGAAACCACATCACCCGAGCACTCTGAAAGATCCCTCACGCCGGAAGTTGTTCTTGATGACGAGCCCACACACTTTCGCCCACCACCACCATCAATCGAATGTGCTTGCCAGTATTCCGTCATGGAGGTCAATAGAGACGATCTATGCATGCTCAGTCTCAAAGTGACGGGAGCTGACTGTGCAAGACCCATTGGTAACCTGCCCGTCGACCTTCTCATTATGCTAGATGCGCGACCAGCTGCGACAGACCAGCACAATGCAACGAAAATCAATGCGATGAGCCAGACTATTGTGAAACTGGTTGGGAAACTCCAGCCAGGGGATCGTGTCATGGTAATGTGCTGCGGGGATCAACCAGAAGTCGTCGTCCCTTTATCGACGATCGCATCAGATGCAGACAAAGAACGGGTTGGCAGGAGCGTCCGGAATATGCGCACGGGCCGGTCGGAGGGGTTCAGTATGAAGGAAGCTGTAGATGCTTTGCGGGGAGCGGGTGCGGAATTGATGGAGGGTGACAATCAGTTGGTACCAGTTGGGCTTCTGATAGTGAGTCCTGGCCGATGGAATGATCGGTATTGGTTGGCGGAGAGGGACTTTGATGAGACTTTTGTGAAGGGGGACTATCGGTGAGTGTTATGGTGAGAATCGACATATACCTCCTGCAGATACTGACGCAGGTCACAGAGGAATTCCGATCCATACCTTGGCACTCGGTAAACACGGCTGGGACGTAACAACTCTTGCACACATTTCCCGTGCATCGGGAGGCACTTTCCGAACCATCGTTGATTCACGCGAAATACCCAATACCGCCTTCAACATCGTTCAATCAGCGCGATTTCGTGTCTTTAAATCTATTACGCTGGACGTTGAGTCGGAAGCGGAAGACGTGCAACTGGTGTCATGCCTGTCGACACATAAAACCAGTTCGTCAAGAGGACCGCCCGGGACGCCCGAAACGTGGCGAGTATACTTTGGAGATTGGCACGAGCGCGACTCCAGATCGCTTCTCTTCCTTGTTCAAGTGCGTAAAACTTCCGCGGCAGCAGCAACATCACCTTACATTCGAGTGCGCGTCACCTGTGTTCCATCCATTCCTTTCCCCCATTGCAAAGCGGTCACCAAAACGGTACGGATGCAACTATTCCAGCGGCTGCCCCGCCCATCGGTGGTTGATAACGTCGCTTGGTTCGAGGTTCGGTACAGGAGGGCAATTCATTCGGTGGTGAATGGGCTTTTGGAACTAGAGTGGGAGAAACGGGTGATGGATGGTCAGAACAGGAAGGGCAAGGGGCCAGCGCCTACGGGTCCAGCACCATTGACGCTCGATCAGTTGGCACAGGTCATTGATGATGTCCGTGTTGGGTCTGCGCCGGTGGAACTAGGTGACCTATCTTGGGAGTACCGGGATCGGGTGCAGGTGCTTAGGAAGATGGTGAAGGAGGCGGGGAAACGGTTTGATGGGAATTGGCAGTGGGTGTGGGAAGCCATTACGGTTCTGTCTGCTGAACGGCTGGATTTCCCTTTGCCACCAACGGAGGACTGAGCACTCAGGTTGAGATATGAAGGAATTGCCTGATGGATAGGGAAGGCCGATCCAATTCAGAGAAACCCATGTGAATAATGTGGCGGCATCACTGCTTGTAAATAAAACCGACGATTTGCCATTGCTTCCGTGGTACCGCTTTGCCAGGTTGAACTCTTTCCCTATGCGCACAGGCTAGATGCTACCGTACCCTGCAATGCAAGTGGCGCAGCAAAATCGACTGAAATTTATTCAACCACCACGCGTGAAACTGATCACACGCCCATCCCCTAAAAAACCTACAAAATCCACAAAACATCAGCTACACAATTCAGAACATCACAACATCATTCGATTGATACGTGACCCAGGCGGTAACCACGAAACAAAAGAAAAGCCCAACGCGGGGGTCGAACCCGCAACCTTGAGATTAAGAGTCTCACGCTCTACCGATTGAGCTAGCCGGGCTGAAAGGAGCTATGCTCCTAATGGGCTCAACCGGGAATTGAACCCGGGACCTCTCGCACCCTAAGCGAGAATCATACTACTAGACCATTGAGCCGGTTGGAGACATGTACTGTGAGTCTTCCAGCAGTCCTTGAAATGGTTGATTGGCGAAGACCTGTCAAAATTGCTAATGCAAAGTGTAGCTAAAGTGTGGAAACCGTGACTATCATGAATGACACCACAGAGTGCCCAAACAATGAATAGCAATGATTTGGCCTGACATGATATTGTCCAAGTGCCATGCTTCTCCATCACACGCCAAACTATTCATTGGTAAGCTCTGGTCCACAACAATTTACCAAACATTGCCAGACACAACTTTCACGACGTTTTCAAGTTCACAGGACCCTCACTAATCATGACAACGTAAAAATACTACATACAAAAATAACTCAAGATACAGAACCAACACAGCGTACACATCAAACTGTGCTGAATTACGGTGACGTTTCACTTAAAAGCCTTGAACATGCCAGCAATCTTGCCCTCCTCTCTCTTGGGAACAAATCCTGTGACGTGGAAGGCGTCCTTCTTTGACTTGCCAATATTAGCTGATTGGTAGCGATAGTATGTCCATGATCAGTATCAGAAGTCAAAGAATAAGACCTTGCGACAGGACTCACCTCGAAGAACGGCCAAGGCCGCGTCAACTGGATCAGGCTCCACGGGCAGCAGCGCTGAGATAGAAGCCAATGGGGAGTTGGTTTTTCTATTGATGACCAAAAAAGCCGCATCATTGACCTACCCGGGTTCATAGTCTTCTGATTTCGCACCAGAAGCTGCTGTAGCCTAGGCGTGAATTCTGGATTTGTGAGGACTACATGCGCCAGCTGTTGCCAATCGTAAGTGCTCAAGGCGTTCATGATGCTGAATTCGTTGTACTGGACAACTAACAAAAGCAAGGCATATTTCGTCAGCAGCCAAATTTGGAGTAACAAAATCATTCGACCGTTGGACATACGTTTCACATCGTTTGGCTTCCCCGCAGAATCCCACACCGGCTTCATGTACTTCTCCACCAGCTTCATGGCATCCTTGCCTTCATGTTTGTCCACCAATACGACAACTTGCTTCGATGTCACTTGCCCAAACGTCCCTGCGGAGAACAGTAAGCTTCACCCAATTAGCCTACAATTAACAAGGATGGGATAACTTACCTCCGTACACCAATTCCATGATGGCGTCCGCCCATGCTTTACTCTTACCAGCCTCACCAAACTGATAAACAATCTTCTTGAATTTGCTACCAGCTTTTTCGCCCTTACGAGTGATACAGGCGTGCACAACTACGTCGTCGCCTTTTGCCACCGCGGAGACCACCCGCCGGAGTTCCATTGGGAAGAAATGTTTGTAGGGTTTTGCTGCGAGGACAAATGAGTATGATTTAACTTCCAACTATTCATATGTCCGAACACTCACTTTTTCCTGGTTCCGTGCAATACAGCTCGAAATCTTCCACCTTGATGTCGACTTTCTTATCCTTCCATGTTACTGTGGCGGGCACCTAAGGATTGACGCAGGTGAGTGATGCTACTTTTATTAATCTCACATACAGTGTTGCCTCACCGGAGTCCTATCAGCCGGTTTTGCAGCAGCGGCTGCAGCGGCCGCGGCCGCAACCTCAGCAGCCTTCTGTTTTGCCAAGTCCTCCGCTTCCTTTTGCAGTCTCTCCTGCTTCAGCCTCTCCTTCTCAGCCAACTGCTCTTTTTCAATGCGCTCCCACTCCTGTCGCTGTCGTTCTGCCTCCTTTGCCCGTTCCGCTCTTTCTGCTTCAAGTCTCTCACGCTCCAGGCGCTGCCTTTCAAGTTCCCTCTCCCGTTCCAATCTTTCAGCCTCAAGCCGTTCTTCAAGACGTTTTCGCTCTTGCTGCAGCCTCTCGGCTTCTTTCTCCCGCGCTATTCTTTCAGCCTCAAGTCGTTCCTGCTCCTGCCGCTCTCGTTCCTTCCTCTCTTCCGCCTCCCTCTCCTGTTTCAGCTTACGCTCCCTCTCCCTTTCCATCTCAATCTCCCTAGCCCGCTCCATGGACTCCCTCGCAGCAAGTTCCGCTAATTCTGCCTGTCTCTGTTGCTCCTCCCTCTGTTTCTGTTCCCGCTCTCGTGCCATTCCCGTCTCTCTCTCCTGTCGCTCTTTTTCTCGTTGTTCCCGCTCCCTCTCCTTCTCTTTTTCTAGTGCAATCATGGCTAGTTCTATCCGCTCCTTTTCTTTCAGTATCTCCTCCTCTCGTGTTATCCGTGCTCTTTCCTCCTGCTCCATGCGCTCCCTTTTCTTTTGCTCTCTCTCTTGAAGCTCCCTCTCCTCCCTTTCCAGCCGTTCCCTTTCCAGCCGTCTCCTTTCCTCCTCTTTCTCCCTCTCTAATTTCTCTCGTTCCATTTCCAATTCCTGTGCAATCCGCAACTGCTCCAGCCTCTCCTCCTCTTTCTCTTTCTCCATCTTTTCTCTCTCGTGGCGCTCCCTCTCCTTCTCCTTCTCAAGCTCTTCCTGCTCTTTCCTTTCCTTCTCCTTTGCTTTATCCTTCTTCTTCCCAAACAAGCTTGCAAGTGACGATGTGGAACCCCCTAAATTTAGATGCAGTTTGCTTTTCCGCTTCTCCTTCAATTTATGTTGTGGCTCTGCATGTTCAACTTCTTCGCCACCTTCTTCTAAGTTGTCGGCGGCAGATCGGTCGGCATATAGATCATAAATGCTGATGACGCCCTCGTTCACTGTTGCGGTGCTGACGGTTAACGAAGCTGTAGGTGCGGGGCCTTGGATTTTTTGCATATCCATTGCGTTGAGGAATTTGCCGGTGTGTTTCGTTACAGCCGGAGGTTGGGAATCAGTTTTGGGAAGAGTTTCTGCATCCATGGACGGACTGACGATATTGCTTGCTGGAGAAGGAGCGGCAGGCGATGGTCCAAATTGTGAGGTTGCACGTGATGCGCTGACAACGGCGGGTTCATCAGCGGGTAGTGAGTTCGCAAAACCTGCTACAGCATCATCCACCGCGGCATGTAACATGACGGTTGATGCTGTATGCTTAGCCGATTCTGTCTCTTTTGCTAGTAAGTCATGCCGACTCGGTTTGAGCACTACAGACGCAGGTCGCGCCTTGATACGTTTCGCTGTATGCGCCTGTGCATCCCCACCAATATCTTCAGTTGGGCTGGTTGGTGAAGTCGCTGCCCACGGGTTGATCTCTGCAGCATCTGGTGCCGTCGCTGACTCCCTTTGTTCTCTCATTGCAACCGATGCTGCAGCTGCTGATGCCAATGCTGCCGCCGTAGCCATGTGTGCCTTACGGTGTGAGTCGGCAGGGGTAACCACAATTGCAGTGTCAGTTGGGGATACTGATTCGTCACCAGCCACGATTGGCACCCGTACTGAAGAGGTTGAAGCTATTTCTACATGAAGGTCAGGTTCTGTTGGTGCTCTTTCTAAAGATATAACCGCCTGCGGTTCTTGTTTGTCCGTCACTCCCACTATCACCTCTTGTCCTGCTATAGTGATTGCCGAAACATTCTCACCACCCTGGGCCGGCGACACAGCGCTCGTCACATCTATCACATGCTTAACCGATCCCTCGTCCTCCTCGATCGCGTCCCGACCCCAAGCTGCATACAATCGACGCGTCTCCTCTTCCAGTTCATCACGCTCCTCCGGCGATAATGTCATGGTTGAAGCTGCCACCGGTCCCGCTTTCGTAGCAAGAGACAAGCCTCTTGGGAGATCTTCCCTCGATACCCTCTCCGAGCTTCGGTCTATTTTGGGCACAGATGGGGCCTTTGCCAGAACTTCTGCTACGACCGGCGGGATGGGTTCTACTGAGATTGGTGCTGCTTCAGAAATGACGGACACACTACGTGCCACTTCTATTGGAGGTGCTTCCTGAATTTTGGGCACACTGGGCTCCTTCGTGACCGCGGGTTTCGGTTTTGGGTTTGGTACACGCTTCTGATATCTTAGCACCGATTTCTCTAGCTCTTTTTTGGTCCCATCTAGCATAAGCTGCGCTTCTTGATAAGCCTTCTTCGCTACTGGAACTGGCGTCACCGCAAGCATGTTCATTCCGGTCGAGATACGATACGTGGAGGAGAAACTTGGCGGTAGCGCTTTATGCCGCGCGGGGTTGAACACCGGCTCATTGGTGGGGCATGCGATGCGAGGCTTTTGAATCGGCCTGATAGGCTGGACGAACTCAAAGTTGATGATGTCTATTCCCCAGTCGGTTAGAATTACGGTGTGGGTCCCCTCATCCTCGTATGTGATCTTTGCCTAGACATGCGATTAGTCTCGGGAATTGAGCTCATAACTATCTGAAGACGCTACCTCGGAGTTGCTGTTCGGATCTCGAGCGCCGGCGACGGCCTGTAATCCTCCCGCTTTCCGCAACGGGTTGAGCACATCGTTATTCTTCCTTTTTCTTCCAGATGCGCCTTCTTCGCGGAGCAGCAGTTCCTCAATCGGATCATTGTAAATAGCTCGAGGAATGGTAGCTTTATCATAATCCGTTGTTCTCGGGGCCACCTGGAACGCATTTGATATAAATTCCAACTTGGCGATACTCCATGTGAGATGTTTTACCCGCAACTTACATCAGTACGTTCATTAAACCAGTTGCCGAATTTAGGCGGAGGTCGACCTTTGAATGCGTCCAGACGCAGCTCTCTTTCCTCTATTGCTGCCATCTCAGTTCAAATCGAAGAGAACGTTCCTGAAATAGCTTCCCTGGCGGTGAAAGAGAAAGTTGCAATGCAATTTTTGGATAGGACCCTTGCGTGGCGCCAGCGGCTGGCTTCGATCGTCAGGGTCTTCCGTGTCCAAAAATAGGGCCGTTCAATCGCAAAGCACTTATAATGAGTTAGCTTCATGTCACTCACTCTCCTTCCGTCTCGCTGCACCAAGCCCTCATCAATTTCACCAAACCACCATCACTTCCTTTGCCATGCCACCTGCACTACCACCCCTCAAAACCACCTCTTTACTCGCGTCCACACAACGCCCATCCGCCCGAGGCCCTCCATCACCGCGCAATAGTTTCAACAGTGCGCGTCTAGCGCGCACAGACTGGGACGTGCC